CTATGGACCTGCTGCGATTGCGGCGGGCACAGCTATCCTTCGTCCGCTTGGACAGAACGCACCTGGCGCTCGGGCGAGGGAGGCGAAGGACCGCGGTGCCGAAGCGCAGGGCTTTGTCGACGAGGTCGGAGCAGCAAGCGGGACGCGTGCGGCTGGTTCAGGCGGAGAACAGCGTCGTCGTGCGCCGAGGACCCGCCGCGAAGAACTTGAAGCAGAACTCGCGTCGCTCAGCGGCAACAGCAGCGACGAGAACGGCAGCGACTACCACCCTCGCCCGTCGTCCTCCTCGTCCGCCTCGTCCTGGTCTCACCCTGCCGCGCTCTCGCCTGCTTCGCCTGCCGGACGTCCAGACCCTGTCGCTCAACGCGTCGCGAACGAGGCGTCGCTCCTCAGTGCAAGCTCGTCGTTTGAGGAGATCCGCAAGGAGGAAGTGGGCGAGTATGGCGCTGCGACGCGCCCGGCTGGTCACAGGAAGAGCGGCAGCTGGTTCGGCTGGGGTGGCGAGGGTGCTACCGCCGCTCAGAAGGACAAGAGCGCTTGACCTGTCTTCACCCTTCTCGGCACTTTTTTCGACTTGCGACTCTCTGTAGCATTCACATCGCTTGCGGATCCCCGTTCTGCGTCCTGCCCTGACCTTATCATAGCTGTTGCATTCCATTTACGTGTACTCTCGCCAGTCTCGTCGACGTCGTCGGTCAACTTGTCCCCGCTTCGGCTCTTCCTCCTCGACTCTTCTCTCTGTGCACGCTCGCTCGCTTGGGACGGCGCTTGCTCTGCTTGATAGCACTCTTCAAGCAATCCGAACGCAGCCATGTCCAGCCCCAACCAGCCCAGCGCGCCGCCAGCTTCAGCAGCCCCACTGTCCTCATCGCCTTCTCGCCAGCCCTCGCGGCCACCGCCGACGACGACCGGCATGGGAGGGACAGGCTCACCGCCCATTAACACCCTGCCGAGCGGGACGACCGTCTCGCGCTCCTCGTCCTTCTCCCGCGCCGCCTCCTTCCGCTTTACCCCCCGCGAGTCCGAAGCCTCGACGCCCCTCTCAGGCGGAACAGGTCTCCCCGGTGGAACTGCATCCGCCGCATCTTCGCCTACGAACCAGCCCATCCTGCCGAGCTCGCCAGACTTTGGGCCAATCAGGGAGGGACATGCGATTCCCAAGGCGACGCTCAATAGGACTGGGTCGATGGGTCCGCCGCCTGGGAGGCAGATGAGTGGCAGTAGGGCGAGTAGTACGGTGACGAGTCCTGTGCAGAGCCCTAGGGACGAGCACAGGGGGACGTGGTGCGTTCGCTTTTCCCTCTTGTGGGCCGCAACTTGACTTCCTGACGCTTCGTCCTGGCGCGACAGGCCTTACTCGACCGCCAACTCCTCGACTTCTTCGCTGGTCGGCACTGCGACGCCCGGTGGAACGCCAACGGTGCGCGACCGCGGCTTTGACCTCGGCGGCAAGGAGGCGAGTTTCGGAATGAGCGCAGGAGCAACGAGTGCGTCAAGCGCTGCCCGTTCGTGTCAAGCCTGTGACGTTCAGCGTGCTCACGATGGATGCATCCGCGCTTACATTTTCACAGTCGAGAAGCCGGACTACTCGGAGGCCAAGATTGTTGTTGCCATGGTCGGGTTGCCCGCACGAGGCAAGAGTTACCTCAGTAACAAGCTGCAGCGGTACTTGCTGGTTCGTGTACTTTCTTCAAGTCCCTTGCGCACTCGGCTGACTGTTTGCGGATCGCAGTGGCTCGAGTACGAGGTTCGTTTTGCGTTTCACTCGCCCCAATTTCCTGCTAACCCATATACACGCCACTTCCGTCTCATCAGGTCAAGGCGAGAAGCTTCATATCCTCAACGGTATCATGACCCTGACGAACTTCTTCCGCAGGTCTTCAACGTCGGCCAGTACCGCCGCGCCAAGTACCGCAAACTGGCGGAAGAGTCTGGCGAGAAGGCGGACCAGTCTTCGAACTTTTTCGACGCCAAGAACGCATCGGCGTCGAAGGAGCGGGAGATGATGGCGACCGAGTGCCTGGAAGACTTGATCCGATGGCTCAAAGCGGGAGGAAACGTGGGCATTCACGGTGAGCCGGCTCTACTGTCCTCACGTTGTCGCGTCGCTGACGAGATTTCCGCGCAGACGCAACCAACTCGACTCGCACCCGCCGCAGGGCCCTCTTCGAGCGCATCAAGCGCGAACCCGGCCTCAAGCTACTCTTCATCGAATCAGTCTGCACCGACCCCGCCGTCATCGCCGCCAACATTGCCGTCAAAGTCGCGTCTGGGGACCCCGACTACGACGGGATGGCGCCGGAGAAGGCGGAGAGGGACTTTAGGGAGAGGATCAAGCACTATGAGGAGAGCTATGAGCCGCTTGACCCCGAGCTCGACAAGGAGTTGACGTGGTGCCAGATGGTCAACGTCGGCAAGCAGGTGTGTGCGAGCGTTGAACGTGCGGTACCGCAGCAGCTGACGAGCATAAGCGCAGGTCACGGTCAATAGAATCGACGGCTACCTCCAGTCTCGGATCGCCTTCTACCTCATGAACCTGCACCTCACGCCTCGCTCGATCTACTTCACACGGGTGCGTCGATCCGCTCGAACACAGCTTGGTGCCCGCTGACACCGACATGCATACAGCACGGCGAATCGCAATACAACGTCGACGGGCAGATTGGCGGCGATGCGCCGCTGTCGAAGCAGGGCGAGATGTATATGCGCGCGCTTCCGAAGCTGATCAAGGAGAAGATCGGCGACACGCCCTTGACCGTGCGTGTGCGCCCGCGCCCGTTCATCCAGCTCGCAGCTGATGTCCTCTCGCAGGTCTGGACTTCAACACTCAAGCGAACGATCCAGACGGCTTCGCTGCTGCCTTACGAGAAACTGACCTGGAAGTCACTGGACGAGCTGGATGCGGGCGTCTGCGACGGCATGACCTACGAGGAGATCGAGGTGAGCTGCCTTGACCATTCTGCCAACTCACCTCTACTGACACGCCTCATCTTCCTCGACAGCAATACTACCCGGAGGACTACAACGCCCGCGACGACGACAAGTTCAACTACCGGTACCGCGGCGGCGAGTCCTACCGCGATGTTGTCATCCGCCTTGAGCCGGTCATCCTCGAGCTCGAGCGGCAGAAGGACATCCTCGTCGTTTGCCATCAGGCTGTGCTGCGTTGCCTTTACGCGTACTTGTGAGCCGTCTCGACCGCTACCATCGCTCAATGCCCGCTGACTTCACCCCGTCCAGCCACAACTTGTCGCAAGAGGAGTTGCCGTACATCAAGATCCCTCTGTGCGTCTTCATGTCTTTGATGCCGCACAGTCGTGCTCACCCGCCCAACTCCGCAGGCACACGGTCATCAAGCTCACCCCCAAGGCGTACGGTTGCGACGAAGAGCGCTTCGCCCTTCCGATCGACGCGGTTGACACGACCCGGTACGTCCGCTCATGCTGAGGCTCTGTGACTATCATTGACAAGCTCTTACGCGCAGTCCCCGCCCCGCTGGCCGTCTCGACGCACTCAAGAAGGAACGCGATCTCGGCGTCCTGAGTCCGTCGACGACTCGCCCGCCATCGCGCGAGCGTGCTCCGAAGGGTCTTTACGACGCCTGAACACATGTTCGCGGCTCTCTCGCAGCTCTGTATCTCCGTTCCGCTTGCTCTCTTGTTCATTACCGTAGATTCCCTTCCTTTCCGCCCGCTCGTTCAGCAACGTGTACCTCTTATCGTCTCGAGCGTTCTCAGGGTTGTCCGCAAGATCTGCTGCAGCCGGGACAGCGCTTGACCACCCTGCGCACCTCGACACCGCCTCTTCCTCCTTGTCTTCACTCTCGCCACCCTTCTTCACCTCAGATCCGCTTGCTCAGACCGCCAACAATGCCCAAGTGTGCTGTCTGCCAGGCTGAGAGCACCCAGCGGTGCGGCCGCTGCCAGAGTGCGTCTCGACAATTCTCATCAGCCGTCTCTCAACTTCGGGTCAATTGTCGGAATAACGGCACAGGCGGACTCACGAAGCCGTCCTACACTCGCAAACACCTACTACTGCGGCGCCGAGCATCAAAAGCAGCACTGGCCGACCCACAAGCCCTCGTGCAAAGCGCCCGCCGCAACTGCGACTCCGTCGGGTGCCAAACCGACGGCTGGTCGGGCAGAACCGCGTGGCAAAGACGAGCGAGGAGGCTTCAAGATGAACGTCCATCCTGTCTCGGGTTCGCCGGCAGACTTGATGAGCCAACTCGAACCGTTTGCGGTAAACATTCCGAAGCAGCAAGTCTACGAACGCCTTATTGACGCTTACCGGCTGTGGATCGACGACTGCTACGTCTGGCGGGGTGAGAACATTGGCTTGTACGCGCAGGAGGACCCGTATCCCGAGGTGAGTCCCGCCTCGCTTTCCTTTGCCCTGGTTTCGCTTTCTTTCCTCTGCTTTGCTCGATCTCCCGCCTACATCGCTGACTCTGCCCTTCACAGTTCGTCAAGTTCGTCAAGAAGGCGCGGAAACACCTGCCGTCGTGGTTCAAGGACGAGGACGAGAAGGCGGTCCTTGCGATGTGTCGCTCACACGAATGGGCAGACATCAACTTTGCCGTCGAAAAGCAGGACATCAACGAGCACTACGGCAGCACAATGATGGCGATGGGACTGCGGATGTGGACGGAGAAGGTGACGGGCAAGAAGTTGACGTGAAGTGAACTGTCTCCAAGCGATTTGTGCTGTGACCTTCCGTCGTCTTATTGTCATTCGGGATCCAGCTGTACTCAGTTGTAATCCAACTCCTTCCACTAGGCACGCTACCGCTTGACACCAGCCTTCGCAGCCGCCATCCTCGCCTTCCTCTCCTCCCTCGCCTGAGCCAACCTCGCCGCTTTCTCCTCCTTGCTGAGTCCGGCCGTGCCCGATGCGGTACTCACAGGTGTGAAGGAACGAGAAGGAGGATCGGAAGGTGGCGGAACGGGCGAGACGGGTGCAGCGACAGGCGGGACGGTCGAAGTAGTGGGGGGAACAGGTGCGGGAGGGGGAGTTGCGGTAGGCGGGAGGGGAGAGCGAGGGAGCGAGACGGGTGACTGTACTGGAGGAGTCGCAGCGGGAGGTACGGAGATTGCTGGGGGTGCAGGTGCGCGAGGAGGGGAAGTCGGCGCAACGAAGGCTGTCGGCGTCGAAGGAGGCGAGAGAGGCGGCGACGCAATCGATGGCGTCTTCGGCTGCGAGAGCGAGGGCAAATTCGTTGCTGCACTTGGCGGCACGACCCTGGGCGAGGCAGGCGTCGATGTCGAGGCGCTGGACGGAGTGGACGCTGCCATGGCGAGCAGAGCAGGGCTCGTCGCCGAAATGAGCGGCTTCCGAACGATCGGCCGCTGACTCGACGGCAGAGCGGCAGCTCGAGGGACCGACCCAGACTCGCCAGACTCGTCGAGGTCCCAGCTGTCCGAGGCGTCCATGTCGAGCGGAATGCGCAAACCTGAGGAGCGACTTGCGGCGCCGAGACGAAGCGAGCCGCCGCGCCCTCGTGCAGACTTAGGCTTCGTGGAGGATAGTCGAGCCGCGAGAGGGTCGATGCGTGCGGGCACGGCCTGGCCTGATTCGAACTCGTCTGCGCACAAACGGGTCAGCGCATCGTCTCGAGTGCTTAGCAGGATCCGCGACTCACCCCAATCCGCATCGTCGTCGTTCACATCCATGAGGTCCCCACCCCAGTCCTCCGTGCCCTTCGCGACTCCGCCGAATCCGCCCGGAACTTGCGGGCTGGCCGAGGTGCTGTCGATCGACGTGCGTGACACCGGTGCAGTTGCGCCGTTCGTAGCGGGGGCGTTGACGCTCGAAATGGATTGCGACGAGTCGCGGCGCTCGATCGGAGCAGCCATCTCCGCCGACGAGAGCTGGTCAACGAGTGAGGTCAGCTTACAGCTCCATGTAAAGCGCACAAAGCTCCGCACCTTTTTCGAGACGCTTGCGAACGCCCAGCCAGCGAGAGCACCTGCTGCGCCCGCTGCATTTGTTGCAAGACCCGGCTGAGTCTGGCTCGCCGCCTGGAGAGCAGGAGATTGCTGCGCCGTTTCTGGCAAGACAGTCTCGGGCTGGATCGAGGGCTCGTCAGCCATTAGGCGTACCTGGACGAGAGAGGAGAAACTCACCATGCTGGCCGTCAAGCTCTCGCACTTCTTGACGAACATGTCAATCGCCTTGAACGCCTGGTCCCGGACCGTCCTGCGACAAGACAATAAGGATGCATAAGCTTGCTTGTTCCCGCAACGCATAGACTGAAGCGTAGAGACTCGACGCACTTCTCCCTGTCGACCAAGCAAATACTCATCGCGGGAATAACCTTGCCCGCCAGATCCTCCTTCTCGAACACCTCGCACGTCGCCATAAGCGCCATCAGCCCCGCAATCCTCGCATGGACGAACGGGTCTCTCAGCGCTCGCGCAAAAGCAGGAATGAGCACTTTGCGCTGCGTCGAGGTCTGGAGGTGTCGCGAGAGACGGGAGAGGAGGATGCAGGTGTTGGTGCGGATGCCGGGTTCGACGTCGGTTTGGGTCTTTGAGAGAACGCGGAGGAGGTCGTTGTTCAGGATGCGGTCGTTGAGCTGTGATCCCGACAAGAACGCATAGACAAGAAGCGTCAGCGTAAGCTGACTTCTGCTCAGTCGTGCGAACGGACGCACCTTTGGCGCAATCAGCGGGATCGCCTTCACCGTCGCCTCCCTGATGACCGGCACGACGTCCCCAAAGCCCGTCTGCAGATGCGGCCAAACCTTCTCGTTCACATCCTTGTTCTGCAACTTGTCCGCATACCGCTCAAGATTCTCCAACAACGCCATCCTGATCGCACGATCAGGCGTCGCGTACATCCGCACGAGAGGCTGAATGACGTCGCGTTGATACTCCTTCTCGTCGAGGTTTGTCGAGCCATCGGAGGAAGAGGAGAGGTCGAGGATGACGGGAAGGAGAGGAGCGCCGCCTGATCCGGAGGAGAACTCAAGCGTGTGCACAAGCGAGGGGAGGACTTTGTATTTGAGGAAGCCGGAGGGGAGGGGAGCGGTTTTGGCGTTGGCGGCGCCGGAGGAGATCGCTTTGAGAGTCCGGATTAGACCCATCCGCTCGTCTTCGGTCGCGAGGGAGAAGCCCTCGAGAGCGGTCGAGAGCTTGACAAGACGGTTCGAGGTCCACCAACCCTCGCCGGGGTGGTTGCCGAGGTCGAGGAAGGCGGCTGTCTTTAGTCGTGCGGCGGGATTGGGGTTGCCGAGTCGTCGCCAAGGCTGGAAGAGGGCAGGAGGGATTGAGCCGCGGACCTGCGGGAGTGAAGGCGTCTCGGATGCGGATGGTGAGAGGTAGGAAGTTGGCAGAGGACCGTTGAGGATGGTGTAGAGGAACAGGTGGAGCAGGTAAGAGTCGAGAGTCGAGGCATCGTATCTGTTCGAGCCGGGTCAGTTGGACAATCGCCTCTTATGCAATGGATGAATTTGACGCACTCCTTGAGAGCGGTCCAGCCGCCTCTTCGGACTTCTGGCGGGGCGTGCGTCCGCGAGTCAGGCAACAATCCGCCGACGTGCTGTGAGCGAGGCGGTGAGCGGGTCCTAAGGCGAAAGGAGCGATACACTACGCACCCACATGGCGCCGTCAGGCTCGTCTAGCCGCGAGCAGACCTCCATTCCGCCGAGTTTCCACTCTCCGCCGGGCGTGACCCATACACTCGTCGTCCGCAGTCCGCCATGTACGCTCTGTCCATCCCGGTTCAAGAAGCCGAGTGCCGTGCAGACATGCAGCAGACCGTAGACCTTGCTCTCCTCGCTCAACCCGCCCTGTCCTTCCAGCTCGAGCGCGAGGGAACGAACCGGCTCCGTGACGATCCAGATCGCGCTGTCCGTCTCGCTGCCGTCGAGGAACTTGAGGATGTTGGGGTGTCGGAGTGCACGGAGTTTTCGGAACGCATTGCGCGCGAGAGGGAAGAGGGAGCGGCGGTCGTGAGACGAGATGTGCGAAGGGGATGAAAGGTCGAATGAGAAGACCGAGACGGGCGTTGAGTCGTCCTGCCCAGCGTGTAACGAGTCAGTCTGATCTCCTTCCCGTCATACAGACCCTCGGGCACGGCGTCGAGGGCCGTCCACGCCTCGTGTGGTGCCTCCTCGTCCGAGAAGGGGAGAAGTCGACGGGCTCACCTTCTTTTTGCCGCTCCACTGCGTCCAGATGCTCTTTCCCTCGTACGCGAGCACCTTGTCGCCCAGCTGGTACCCCTGCACGCCCGGTACGCCGCCAGAGGCATTGGCGAGCGCGGCGCTGCCTGCCGAGATGAGGCTGCTCGAGATGCTGGAGAGAAAGTTCATGACCGGCAGCGTTTAGCGAGTCCCAGCAAGCACAGCAAGCCCAGCAAATAGCCCCAGCACGCCGTCAAAGGCGGGTTGACGTCGTCGTCGCTGGACAACCCTCCTCCTTGACGAACAACCAACGCTTTCACCTCGCTCGACACGCTAAGGACTGCTTTTGACCCGCTTGGCTTGCTCTACACGACCACTTAGCACCACCGACAAACAGCAAGGATGCCCCCGCGAGCGTGCGTTGTCCCCGCTTACGTCTCCTCGCTCATCAGCTAGCACGCCGCTGACCACGCCTCGACTACTCGCAGTGACTGGGAGAAGTGTGCGTAGGGTTAGATAGGGCTACAGAATGATGCTGACTTCTTGAGCGAACCTCGCAGACAAGGCGGACCCGACGAAGCAGGAGGAGACCAAGATCGACCGTACGTCTCGCTTCGTTGCTGTAGGGCGTGTAGGGACGTGGAAGCTGACCCTGAGATCTCATTGAACGCAGCGCTGGATGACGAGGACATCCAGATCCTGCGAACATACGTGCGTACCCTCGACTCGAGTGCCACCGCCTTGTTCAGGCTGGCTGACTTGCTTGCATTCCGCAGGGCCAAGGACCGTATGCGAAGCGATTGAAGGATGTGGATGCAGAGATCAAGGAGGTGCAGAAGCGGATCAACGACAAGATGGGTGTGTTGGCCTGGGACAACCTCATGCCTTTGTCGAGCGATTCTTCTTCGGCAAAGGCTCTTTCAAACCTCCCTTAAGCTAACATTCTCATCCGCAGGCGTCAAGGAGCTTGCGACGGGCCTCGCGCCGCCGAACCTGTGGGACCTCGCAGCAGACAAGCAACGAATGGGCGAAGAGCACCCTCTCCAAGTCGCACGCTGCACAAAGATCATCCGCCTCCCCGAAGACGCCTCGCCGCCTGCTCTCGCACCGGGACAGAAACCCAACGCCGACGAGCAGGACAAGTACGTCATCAACGTCAAGCAGATCGCCAAGTTTGTGGTTGCGCTCGGAGACAGGGTTGCGCCGACGGATATCGAGGAGGGCATGCGCGTTGGGTGAGTCTGCGTCTTGCGTGGACGTCTTGCGTGCCGCATCGGCGATACGTGAGGCGTATCCACACCAGAACAGGTGCTCACAAGAATTGTCTCGCAGCGTCGACCGCCAGGACTACAAGATCATGATTCCGCTCCCGCCCAAAATCGACGCCTCGGTGACGATGATGCAGGTCGAGGAGAAGCCGGACGTGACGTACCAGGACGTCGGTGGGTGCAAGGAGCAGATCGAGAAGCTGCGCGAGGTGGTCGAAACGCCGTTGTTGACAGTGCGCACTCCGACCTTTCGCTTCCCGCATGCACGTAGAACTGTACTGATGTTCGTGCTTGCAGCCCGAACGCTTCGTCGAACTTGGCATCGATCCGCCGAAGGGCGTCATGCTGTACGGCCCTCCGGGGACTGGCAAGACGCTCTGCGCTCGAGCCGTCGCAAACCGTACGGACGCCACGTTCATCCGTGTCATCGGCTCTGAACTCGTCCAAAAGTACGTCGGCGAAGGCGCGAGGATGGTGCGGGAACTCTTCGAGATGGCACGCTCGAAGAAGGCCTGCATCATCTTCTTCGACGAGATCGACGCCATCGGCGGAGCAAGGTTCGACGACGGTGCCGGCGGCGACAACGAGGTCCAGCGCACCATGCTCGAGCTGATCAACCAGCTCGACGGCTTCGACCCGCGCGGCAACATCAAGGTCCTCATGGCGACCAACCGGTCTGTACCTCTCCCTCCTCTTCCTCTGCACAGTATACTGACTCCATTCTCGTGCAGTCCCGACACGCTCGACCCCGCCCTCCTCCGTCCCGGCCGTATTGACCGTCGCGTCGAGTTTGGACTTCCCGACAACGAAGGCCGCGCGCACATCCTCCGCATCCATGCCCGCTCGATGGCCGTCGAGCGCAATATCCGCTTCGAGTTGGTGGCGCGCTTGTGCCCGAACGCGACTGGCGCCGAGTTGAGGTCGGTGTGCACCGAAGCTGGCATGTTTGCGATCCGCCAGCGTCGGAAAATCGCGACGGAGAAGGACTTCCTCGATGCGGTCGAGAAGGTGAGTCTCGCGCTCTTTGAGGCCGTCCCGCGCCGTTTTCGCTGACTTGCCTCCTTTTTGCTCGCTCGCAGGTCATCCGCTCGGGGCAGAAATTCTCGTCGACGTCGTTGTACGCCAACTACCAGTAGCAGCGCAATGCATTTGAGTCGCTTGTTTTGAAGAGCGCCCAGTTGAGAGCAGGTCGTGCGGGAGAGCAGCTTGCGCGATGCCGCCCTTGACTGTCATCTGGTTGCATTCTATGCTTGCGGCTGGCTCGTGAGCATCTTCTTGCCGCTTAGACTGACGGCGCACATCTTCAACTCGCCGTCAGGCTGCACTCGCCTTTACGCATCAAGTTTTGCTAAGAGGGCCCATTACTCTTCCCGAAAGAACGCAACGAGCAGCCAAATGTCCGTGATACAACAAACCCCACTGCTACACAACCACCTCTAGATCCTCCCGAGATACGGGTTCTTACTCTGGATCGTGAGCGTATTCCCCGCCTTCGTCGTAAAAGTCCTCGCCGACTCGCCCGTCTTGTGCTCCTTCACCCTCCCAGTTCCCATCGACGAATCAGACCACCGACTCTGTTCAGACCTCAAAGGTGGACGGGCGGAGGGAGCGTAAGATGAGCGAGAGGGCGTGGGAGAAATTGGGGAGTTGGGGTCTTCGAGGACGAATCGGGGAGTGAGGGGGACGTCGTCGAGCTGTTTGCCGTAGACTGGTGGAGGTGGTGAGAGGCGGCGGGGAGGAGGGTGGGCGGGGGAGAGGTAGGAGAAGGAATGGGAGGGGGAGGGGGAGGGGGAGGAAGCGCGAGGGATGGGAGGGTAGGCGATTGAGATGGGTAGGGCGGCGAGTTTCTTGTCGACCTGCGCGCCACCATCCTTGGTGTCAGTCTCGGCACGCGGAAGAGGTGAAGAAATGAGCAAGCGACCTCCTTGTCCCCCAAATCCCTCGCAAACCTCGCCGTCATTTCCCCTCCTCCTCTTCTGCTCCCTTTTCACAATGTATCACATCTCATGCACACGCCAGCATATCTTACAACAACGTGGGAACTTCCTGCCAAGCGCTAGAAGCCTATGCCCCCCTCACGGCCACCTGCATCTTGCTGTCGAACGTCTCGGAGCGTATGGGCATCTCGACGGTGTAGAAGGGGTCCTTGAGGTGGTCGGCGTAGGTCTCGTATATCCGTCGCAGGACCGTCTCGGGTGAAGGGTGCGAAGGCGTCGTGAGGAGGACAAACTTGATGCCTGCGCGGGGAGGAGCTGCGGTCAGTCCTTCGTCCTGCTTCGCGAGCGATCCACACAGCTCGTCAAACTTTCAAAGGGTCGCAGAACCGCAGGCGACGACAGGAAACGCACCGGTGGGCGTTTGAAGGCAGGTCATCTTGAACGTCTCTGCCTCGATGGTTTCCACGCCCGAGCTGCCGGGCACAGGCGATATCCGCGACGCGATGGCATGAATCGAGTGGAACGTCGAGGCGAGAATGAGGTAGTCGTTCGAGTTTAGCTGGGCGAGGCCGTCTGCGGGGAGGAGAACGGGTTCAGCGAGGCTATGGTGGAGCTTCTCGATAAGCGCACCTGCGTATGTCCGCGAGTAGATCAGCCCGCCGGCCTTGTTGATGATCCACAAACCGAACGACGTCTGCGAGCCGGACATTGACATGGCGGGGGAGGGAGGAGGACAGCTCGAGCGGGAGGAGCGGGGGCGCGGCTGAACGGATGCAGGGAGATGCTAGTAAGCGCGTAGCAGGCAGCCAGCAGCCCGGCGAGCGAGTCGAGCGTGTGGTTGAGCGAAAGAGATGAGCGAACGCTTCTTCCTCCTCTTCCACCGCGCCACGACCCGTTTGCTGGGTCAGCGCGCTGCGAAGGGAGCTATTTTCGACCCGTCTAGCCCACCCACACCGCTCAAAGCACCCCCGCTCGCCCGTCGCTGTTCTCTCGCCCCTCGCCATCTCTCATCGCTCAAAGGCGCTCGTCGACGATGGCGCCCGCTCCGCAGGCCAGCAGTGCCGAAATCACCATCCGAGTGTGCTCAGAAATCGTCAGGAGGCTGCTCGAGGCGCACGACAAGGGCGAGACGGTCAACTTGAACGCTCTCAAGACGCAGGTCGCCAGCAAGTATGGTTCAAAGAGCGTGCCGAGGCTCGTGGACATCATCAGCGCCGTGCCACAGGAGGTCAGGGACATCCTGCTGCCGAAGCTGCGGGCGAAGCCGGTGCGGACGGCCAGTGGGGTGCGTTCAAGTCCTTCTCTCTCCCCGGACTTCCTGCTCATCCCTCTTACGCCCGCAGATCGCCGTCGTGGCCGTCATGAGCAAGCCTCACCGGTGTCCTCACATCGCCATGACCGGCAACATCTGTGTGTGCGTCCGGATCCATTTCCTCCGCCATCTCTGCTGCTCGTTTGACCTGTCGAAACGCCCACAGGTACTGCCCAGGCGGTCCCGACTCCGACTTTGAGTACTCGACCCAGTCCTACACTGTGCGTCAGTTTCGCCATGGTCGTGCGAGCTCAGCTGACAGGATTGCGCGCACAGGGATACGAGCCGACTTCGATGCGAGCCATCCGCGCGCGTTACGACCCGTACGAGCAATCGAAGGGCCGTGTAGAGCAATTGCGGTCTCTTGGACATAGCGTCGACAAGGTGCGTCCAGCGTGAAGCGGTCATCGCAATACGTTTCCGCTCATTCTCCCCATCTGCGCGCAGGTCGAGTTCATCATCATGGGCGGGACCTTCATGTCGCTTGGCGAGTCGTACCGGAACGAGTTCATCTCGCAGCTGCACAACTCGCTGTCGGGGTACACGGGGCACGATGTTGACGAGGCCGTCCAGTTCGTTCACGGTTCCCTGCGCTTCCGTAACATCAGCCGCTCACCCTCGCTTCCCCCGCCAGGTACGCGGAGCAGGCGAAGACGAAGTGCATTGGTATCACGATCGAGACCCGGCCAGACTACTGCCTCAAGCCGCATCTGAGGTTCGCTCGCTGCCTCTCTCGCCCCAAGGCTGCCGCTTACCCTCCCTCTCGTGCGCAGTGCCATGCTCCGTTACGGCTGCACACGACTCGAAATTGGCGTCCAGTCTGTGTACGAGGACGTTGCGCGAGACACGAATCGCGGCCACACCGTCAGGGCGACTTGCGAGGCGTTCCAGCTGGCGAAGGATGCGGGCTTCAAGGTGGTCTCGCACATGATGGTGAGTCCGCTTGATTGGCTGTACTCCGAGACGGTGCTGACAGCATCACCTATTGCAGCCCGACCTCCCGAACGTCGGCGTCGAGCGCGACATGGCGCAGTTCCACGAGTACTTCGAGAACCCCGCCTTCCGCTCCGACGGCCTGAAGATCTATCCGACGCTCGTCATCCGCGGCACCGGTCTGTACGAGCTGTGGCGGACAGGTCGCTACAAGAACTACAGCCCAAACGCGCTCGTTGATATTGTCGCTCGCATCTTGGCGCTCGTCCCGCCTTGGACCAGGATCTACCGTGTGCAGCGGTGAGTCGAAGGCTCTCTCGTCTCTACAAGCTGTTCGCGCTCAGCGACAGCATGCTGATGCATGGGTTCCTACGACTAACAGCGACATCCCTATGCCCCTCGTCTCTTCCGGCGTCGAGAACGGCAACCTTCGCGAACTCGCCCTGGCCCGTATGCGCGACTTTGGTCTCACCTGCCGAGACGTGCGGAGCCGCGAGGTCGGCTTGCACGAGATCCACAACCGTGTTAGGGTGCGCGCCACTACTTCCTTCTCTCAACACTCAGCGTTCTCATTGGCTTCGGCTTGCACAGCCCGACGAGCTCGAGCTCATTCGACGCGACTACACGGCGAACGGCGGCTGGGAGACCTTCCTGTCGTACGAAGACCCCGAGCGAGACATCCTCGTCGGCTTGTTGCGGCTGCGGAAGCTCACGCCCGAGGGAACGTTCCGCGAGGAGCTAGTCAAGGACGGGCAGACAAGTATGGTCCGCGAGCTGCACGGTGAGCGAAACGGCACCCAAACTGTCAAGCATTTCTCTCGGGACAGACTTGCTGACTGCCCGAGGGTGTCCATTTCTGCAGTCTACGGCACAGCCGTTCCGCTCCACTCCCGCGATCCGACTCTCTTCCAGCACCAAGGTATCGGCACACTTCTCATGGAAGAAGCCGAGCGGATCGCGCGCGAGGAGCACGGTAGCCGCAAGATTGCCGTCATTAGCGGTATCGGCGTGCGGAGCTACTACGCTCGTCTCGGGTACAAGCTCGAGGGGCCGTACATGACGTGCGTCTTCATCCTCGTCGAGCTTCCGGGGATGAAGCTGACCAGTCTTTCTCGCTTGACACAGCAAGATGCTCGACCCGCTCGACGACGACGAGATCTTCTGAGCTCGGTAGTCACCTCGCATCTCTCCGCTCGCATGTGGCTCACTTCTGTTGTTGCATTATACCGGTTCCGGCGCAGATGAAGTGGGCGAGGCAGTCTTCAGCTAGCGCTCCGCCTTCTCCTTCCGTCGTCTCTGGCCCCCGTGCTGCACGCTTGATTATCCTTGCAGACGCTCTATGACGTTCGCCGCACCTCGCAGATCGACTCGACGACGTGTTCCGCTTCGAAATAGCCGATAACCTTCTCGATGTCGGAACTGCGGCGCGTGCACGAAGGTCAGCAACGCCGTGAAGAAGCGCAAGGAGTGAACGGTAGCGCACCTCCGCAGACCCTTGACGCGGTCAATCTCGACCGAGTTGTAGTTGGTCAAGCCCCGGCCGAATTCGATAATCTCGTCCTCCTCCTCCTTCTGCACCTTTTCCGCTGCCGCCGCATCGCTGAGACTCAACCCCTCCGCTGCCCGCGCGAGCTCCCGCTCCTTCTCTTCCCGCTCTGATGACCGGTCCGCGAAATGATCCGGACTCCGCGCACGACTCGGTACCCGCCCATCCTTCCTCGACGCGCTCCGCCCACGCTCCTTGTTCGCTCCCTTCTTGAGTACGACGCACACTCGCACAGCCTGTCCCGCCGCGAACGTTCCCTCGACCCGCAAGACACCCGCAGCGAGCAACCGTCCTCCGTTCCCGCCTCCTCCGCCGTCTCGCTCGCCGCGGGTGATGGCGCGGTAGGCGCCTTCGTCGACAAAGACTGTTCCTCGAGGTGTGAGGCCGTGCAGAATCCAGAATCGGCGGGACGAGAGAGGCGAGGTTTTCGGCATGAAGAGAGTGTGAGGGGGAACAGAGTCGTCGGTAGGAGAGGCAAACTCGACGCCCGGACGGTGCGATACGTGTGTTGCGGCAGGAGTGGCGGAGATCTCGGAGATGGGCTGGAGGGAGGCTGTCGAGGATGAGGTGGGAGAGGGGGGAGCGGTTCGGGCGTGGTGGCCTTGCACGATAGTGAGGATGCGGGTCGGCATCGAGCCCATCGTGATGACTGTTGCGCAGCCGGCGGCAGTCGCAAGTTCTGCTGCAATCAGCTTCGTCTCCATTCCTCCGGTACCGAGAGACGAGCCGAGTGTCGATGTGCTGACTGTGGGTCGAAACGATCACGGACATATGCGTCAGCTCCAGTGTCCGCAGAAGACGCAAGACGTGCAGGACACGACCCACCTAGTCTCCGCACCTCCTCGATATCCCGCACCTTCGCAACCCTCCTCGCACCCGGCACCCGCCTCGGATTGTCCTCATAAAGCCCATCGACATCCGTCATCAAGAAAAGGTAGTCGGCGCCGCACATGCCCGCTGCGATGGCCGAAAGAGTATCGTTGTCGCCAAACTTGTTGACGTGCAGGATCTCGGAGACGGAGACGGTGTCGTTCTCGTTGATGATGGGAATCACACCGAGAGAAAGGAGGGTGCTGAGAGTCGTTGTGGCGTTCAGGTAGCGGGATCGCTGCGTGGAGAAGGAGCGTCACCTTCAAAGTCTGGAAAGGCGGCGGAAGAACGCACGTCGGCAATGTCGTTCCTCGTCAGCAGGATCTGCGCAATAGGCTGCTTCAAGGCGCCGAAGATCTGGTCCCACAGCGCAATGAGCCGTCCCTGCCCGATAGCAGCGAGCGCCTGCTTCTCTCCAATCGCTCGCTTCTTCCCGGGCGCTAACGCCGGCAACTCCATCCTGTGCAGGCCCATTCCGATGGCGCCGGACGAGACGATGACGACGCGGTGGCCGAGGGCGCGCAGAGAGACGCATGTTTCGGCTAGGGCGGAGAGGGTAGCGATTTGAGGGAAGTGAGGGGGTTCGGGGTGGAGAATCGACGAAGAGCCTGCGGGACAGAACTGTCAGCGCCGCGTAACAGCATAAGCAGCGTTTCTGGATTCACCGAGCTTGATCACGACCGTCAGCGGATGCACCATCCTGCTCGCCAAACTGCTCTTTCGCGAGCGGGGAAAGGAGGTGAGGCCGGCGGGACAAGGGTGGGAGAAGAGCGGCGGTCAAGCACAGTGCGTACAGACCCTATTTGGCACCGTCTCAAGCTTAGCAGAGCGCTACAGGAAGCTGATGCGAAGCGGCGAGAGTCAACCTCATCCTCATCAGTCCTCCTCGAGGTCACCCTCCGCCAACAGCGATGCCTTCCGCCTTTGCCGCTTCTGAGCTGAAGCAGGCGCTGTCAGAGATCCCTTGGGGCATGCGAACGTACCGCTTGCTCCCCGACGACCCCGCTGAGCCCGACGCTGCTCGTGCCGAGGTCGACTTGCTCGAGGAGGGCCAGAGTGTCACCGTCTCGTGCTCAGATGGAGGATGGCGTATCGTGGGCAGTAAGGGAAGATGCAGAAAGGTGCGTCCGTCTGCTAACCGACTCAGGAGCGGCTCGCTGACCACTCTTCTCTCCGACTTTCCCCACCTCTCCCTCTTCAACTTCGCTCAACTCGCCAGAACAACGCCGTCTTCGACACGCTAGACGACCTGATGCTCGCTGTGTCCCCGGCCTTCGAAGCGAAACGGATGGAGAAGCTGATGGAAAAGCTGGCGGAGGTTGCGGATGGCAGGCAGAAGAGTCGTTGGGCGGACTTTGACGATGTGGACGGACAAGAAGGGCAGGAGAAGGGCGCGAGGTGACCTCTGGTCTCTGCTATTACCGCCAGCCAGGTCAGCTCTTCGCGTCTTCGCATTACACGTTTGCTGATTTCCCCGTCTTGCAGGCGACACAGTCGCTCTCGCTTCACAGCCACGACCCTTGCAAACAGAAAGCCGCGCGTATAATCTCCGCATCCACGCCCGCTCGATGGCCGTCGAACGCAACATTCGTTTCGACCTCGTTGCTCGCCTCTGCCCGAACGCGACTGGTGCCGAACTTCGCTCCGTGTACACCGAAGCTGGCATGTTTGCGATTCGCCAGCGTCGTAAAATTGCGACGGAGAAAGACTTCCTCGATGCGGTCGAGAAGGTGAGTCTCGCGCTCTCTGCGGCGGTCCTCGTGCAGTTTCGCTGACTTGCCTCCGCTTTCTCGTGCAGGTCATCCGCTCGGGCCAGAAGTTCTCGTCGACGTCGTTGTACGCCAACTACCAGTAGCCTCGCAATGCATCCGAGTTCGCGTGCGTCGAGTAGCGCTCAGTTGAGAGCAGGTGTTGACGAAGAGCAGCTTGCGAGGCCCTTTCGCTCGTCGTCTAGCCGCATGCTTTGGTCGCGGCTCTTCTAGACATCTCCTTGTTGCGAGACTGGAGACGAGCACCGTCAGTCCGCCGTCAGCCTGCCACCGCACTCTACGCTCGAAGCTTCGTTGAGCGCACCATCTCTCACCGAAAGAACGCAACGAGCAGCCAAGTGTGTCCGTGATACAACAAACCCCTCTACACAACCACCTCTAGATTCTCCCGAGATACGGGTTCTTACTCTGGATCGTAAGCGTATTCCCCGCCTTCGTCGTAAAAGTCCTCGCCGACTCTCCCGTCTTGTGTTCCCTCACCCTCCCAGTTCCCATCGACGAATCAGACCACCGACTCTGCTCCGACCTCAAGGGTGGACGGGCGGAAGGAGCGTAAGATGAGCGAGAGGGAGTGGGAGAGATTGGAGAGTTTGGGTCTTCGAGGACGAAGCGGGGAGTGAGGGGCACGTCGGAGAGCTCTTTGCCGTAGACTGGTGGAGGTGGAGAAGGGCGGCGGGGAGGAGGACGCGCGGGGGAGAGGTAGGAGAAGGACGAAGGAGAAGGGGAGGCCGCGCGAGGGATGGGAGGGTAGGCGATCGAGATGGGTAGGGCGGCGAGTTTCTTGTCGACCTGCGAGTTGAGTCCGTCCCTCGTGTCAATCTCGGTACGCGGAAAAGGTGAAGAAGTGAGCAAGCAAGCGCACCTCCTTGTTCCCTAAATCTCTCGCAAACCTCGCCGTCTGCTCCCTCCTTCTCCTCTGTTCCCTCCTCCTCCAAACCAATACCGCAACCACCACCAACGCCGCGACACAAATCAACAACACAAGGATCGCCCACCAAGGCATCTTCCACTTCGCCTGCGCAGCTTCTGATTGAGATTGGGGAGCGACGGTGACGAGGTCTTCGAGGCAGACTCCAAAATCGTCTATCACTGCGCATCCGTCCTTCGGCGCTTCGCATCGCCCGCTGACGAGTTTCTGACCCGAAGGACAGGAGAGACAGCCGTCTGCGCCTGCAGAGGCGCAACTCGCGCATGAGGGGTCGCACGCCACGCACTGCCCTTTCGTCGAGTCGAAGAACTCGTTTGGCGCGCAGGTTGAGACGCACGAAGACGACGAGGCGAGGAAGACGGGCCGCGACGAAGGGCAGGTGAGGCATGTCGTTGGGGTGTCGGAGCAAGTTGCGCAGTCTGGATGACAGGGGAGACACGTCGCTGCGGTTGTGTTCGGTGAAGAAGGGAGGAGCGGGGAGTGGAATGAGGGAGAGGAGAAGAAGCCGGCTGGACAGGAGGGGCCGGTGATGCAGGTGCCGTTTTGTACGAGGGCGGTCGAGGAGGCGCAGGAGGTGCAGAAGGAGGTCGAGTGTGCGCATGTAGCGCAGGACGAGTCGCAGGCTGTGCTCACCCTCTCTCAGCTTCTTACCGTCGGGACGAAGCGAGAGGAGAGGAGAGGAAAGCGTACCTTGACACCCCGTCCCATCGTTACTGACCATCGTCCCCGCCGGACACTCGTCGACACAAGCCCCGTTAACGAGGAAACTCCCCGGCAGACACTTCGAGCACGCGAGTTGTGCCCGGGTAGAAGCGGAGGTGAACGAGTTGATACCGCCCGCGAGGCATTTCGCGGGGAGGGCTGCGGAGAACCCGTGCGTCAGGGGAGTCCGCTAGAGAGCGGCGCGCAGGAGGAGAGGGAGGGAGGGAGGGACGAACCATCGCAAACCCCCTTGGCATTATCGAACACCCACCCACCCGCGCTCGTCGTCGCATTCCCACTCCCACCGACCTTACTCGCATCACACACGCCCGTCTTTGAATCAACAGCCACACACCCCTTCCCACCAGGCATCAACACATTCGGTTCGCGACACTTTGTGCACGCTCCGGCTCCCGCTGCGTAACAGCTCTCGCACATAGGATCGCACGCGACGCAGGAAGAAGTGGACGAGTCGAAGAAGGTCCGGGAGGGGCAGGTGATGAATGTGCCGTTTTGTTGGGAGGAGGAGGAGGGGACGCAGGAAGTGGGTGAGGAGGAGGTGGGTTGGAGAGTGGGTTGGCAGGTTAGGCAGGTGCCCGAGGGGGAGGAGCATGTTGCGCAGGTTGGGTCGCAGGCTGGTTCATCCGCCTCAATCTCTTATCAGCTCTCTCATCTTCGGACGCTAGAGTCGAGAAAAGAGAGGCAAGGACGCACCGAGACAATCCCCTCCCGAGCTGAGGTAATACCCCGCCGCACAAGCCGCACACTGCGTCCCATTCGCCGCTGTCGTCCATCCCGCGCTACACGCACACGTAGCCGTAGTCGAGTTTGAGGCGCAGAGGCCGTTGAGGCAGTTGCATGTGCCTGTTCCGCCAATGGTTAGCTAGTTTCTCAGGATAAGTGCGAGGGGAGGGACGTACTGGGAAGGACGACGGAGGAGGAAGAGGAAGACGGGGAGAGACAGAGGCCGCTGCCTGTTAGGCCGTCGTCGCAGGACGAACAGCCGGCGGGACAGGGCTGGCAAGTTGGGCCGAAGAAGCCCTTCGAGCAGGTGTCTGTGCGCCGTTACGTTTACCCGCACCTCGTCAGCACCTCCGTCGCCGGAGGAAGAGGAGAAAGGAAGGCGAGGGATAGAACGCACCGCACGACTCCCTCTCCCACCCAATCTCGCACACACACCTCCCCCCACTCACGCACCTCCCTCCGCTCCTACACCCCTTCACACACGCACTACTCTGCACATCCACCACTTTCGCGCCCGTCGCGAGGGCCTTGGTTTGCGAGAAATCGGGGAGGGAGGACCAGAGGATCAGGTGGGGAGAGGAGGGGGTCGAGAGGATTGTGTAGAGTGAGAGGGAGGTCGAGGGGGAGAAGAGGAGGGAGTGGATGGTGGTTGAGTAGGTCGAATTGAAAGAGGAGGAGGACGAGTTGGACGAGTTGGACGAGTTGGTCGGTAGGGAGAGATACGTCGCTTCTCCCTGATAAAGCGCGTTCGAGTACGCCGTCACACCATGCATCATCTGCACCGTGAAAGTCGACCCGCTCGCGAGCGATCCGGAGGCGGAGAACCCATTCGAGGGTCTTGCGGAGGCGCGGCGGGAGAAGAGGGCGGATGAGAGGGACGAGTTGGTGGACGAGAAGGCGGGCGAAGAAGGCGTGTAAGTGCCGGGCAGGAGGGTGATTTGCTGAGTTGAGCCGTTGACGGGTGAAGAGACGACGACGCCGGCTGTGAAGGAGCGAGTCAGTGTGCGTCTCACGCAATTCGGCCGTGAGTTCGGCGCACCTGTGAGGGCATTCTGTCCCTCGAGACACAAGTCAGGCGTGCAGACCGCAGGCACAAGCGGCGAGGACGAGTTCGCAGAGGAAGAGGACGCGGAAGCAGCGGCGGCGCGGACAGCCAGGTGCGGCTGCGGTGAGTGATGAGATTGCGCTGTCGCGTATGGAAAGGCAGCGAGTGCGAGTGCCTCGGCAGCGAGCAAGAGTGCGAGCATGGCACCCGAGTATTTGGCAAGGATGTGGACGACGACGAGCAAGAGAGCGAGGACGGGGGCGAGCGAGCTGAGCGTGAGAGTGTGTCCCCGTGTGAGCCCAGTGAGCATGTTCCCCTTGTCTCTCTCTCGCGGAACAAAGGGAGGCGAGCGAGCGTCGTCGTCGGAGGGAAAGGCAAGCGGAGCAGAACAAGGCGAGCGAGGAGCGTGCACGCCCTTCTTCTCCCTCCGTTGTGCCACATTACACGAAATTACAATGCTCAGGACTGCCATCCGACCCATCGCACGGACAGCGACCGTCGCTCTCCGCCAGCCGCTCACCCGCGCCCGCTTCCCCGCCCTCACTCGCTCCGTCGTCAGTGAGTGCACCCGCTCCCGCGCCAACGGGCTGGCTGTTGTTGTATACTGACTGTGTATCGTCGACTCGCAGCCAAGCGGTACACGGTCGAGCACGAGTGGGTCGCGTTCGACGACTCGACCGGACTCGGGACGATTGGCATCACCGACTACGCCCAAAAGGCCCTCGGCGACGTCGTCTACGTCGAGGTGTCGGAGCAGGGCACGCAGGTCGCAAAGGGCGGTACGCCGACTCTCGCTCTGTGCTCGCGGTCGACGCTCGCTCACCTTTTCACCTTGCCTTTCCCTCTGTCCCTCGCGAATGGCAGAGGAGATGGGCGCTGTCGAGAGCGTCAAGGCCGCGTCCGACATCTTTGCGCCCGTCGGTGGTCAGATCGCAGAGGTCAACGACGCCCTCGAAGACCAGCCCGACCTCCTCAACAAGTCGCCCGAACAGGACGGTGCGTCCCACGTGCTTCTCTCCTCGCTCTTTTCGGTTCCCGCGTAGCTGACGAGAGCGTTGGCGTGCGCAGGCTGGCTCGCCAAGATCAAGCTGTCGAACCCGGGCGAGTTTGACGAGTTGCTCAACGAGGATGCGTACAAGGCGCACTGCGCTGGATCCGAGGAAGCCTCTTGAGCGGGCGGTTGTGTCGTCTGAGTAACTGTCAAAGCTGTAGTGCGGTCTCTGTCAATTCTAGAAGTCAACAGGCAGACCTTAACAGCGAGCAACTTGGACTCCTCCTCTCTCCTTCCTCCCGCTCACTTTGCTTCGACTCCGCTCGCTCGCCAGAGCTGCTGCTACCCGCAATGCCAGTCTTCGGCGGCCCCGATCCCACACCCAGCACCTCCTCCTCCTCCCTGCCCATCGCTCCTCCCGCTCCCTCCCCACCTCCGTCATCCTCCTCTCTCGCACCCTCCTCACCCACACGCACGCTCTCACCCGCCGCAGCCGCAGCTCTCGCACGTGCTCAGCCTGCTCCGAGGCCTACCAGTCGCGCCGAGGCGCACTCGGCGAGACTGGACCAGGAGGGGGGCGAGGAGTTCAGGCCTGATAGGAAGGATTTGTTGGCGTATCATCGGGTGTTGGATAGTCAGGTGCGTTCCCTCTCTACCCCTCTTCCTTACTCTACATGCGCGGGCTGATGCGAGAAAGCGCCACAGTTCCTCCCGAACGTCTCCAAAACCCAAGCAGTCGAAACCCTCTCGACCTTGCACACGATTCTCTCCAACCTCCTCTCTCCTCCCGCTCCCTCCCAAGCACACAAATACCGCCACATCCGTCTCTCCAACCCCCTCATCCAGCGCATCATCCTCACTCCCGCCTCCGGGTCCGCCAAGGACTTCCTCGTCCTCTGCGGGTGGAAACGCGAGGTGAAAGAATTTGAGGAGGCGCTGGTTTGGAGAGGAGGAGAGGGACAGGTGTATAGGGTTAGGTGTGGGAGGTTGGTCGTGGAGGGGAAGTTGAGGGCTGCGAAGGAGGCGGAGGAGAGGGAGAGGAGGTATAAGGAGAGTGAGAAGGAGGCTGAGGCGGGTGCGTCCGACTTTACCTTACTGTGAGGCGAGGCGAGCTGACGAGTCGGATGGGCGCAGCGAGGAAGGAGAAGGCGCTGCTGGCGTACGAGGAAGACCGTCTCTCCCGCGCCGAGCGCGACGAGCGCGGTACGTCTCTTCTCACCGCATCGTACTCATCTCGCTGAGAACGGCCGTACTGACCGACGTCGACTTTGCCGTCCCGCAGAACGCCTCGTCCGGGAAGCGCGCGCCGCCCTCCCCTCTCCTCCCGTCATTCCCCGTCCAACCGGTCCCTCCCCATACCTTCCCCGCGCACCCCCCAGCTCACTTCCCTTCCACGCCGCCGCCGCCGCGGATCCCGAAGCAGGGACGGACGACCCCCCTCCTTCGTACGGGGAGTCTGCGCGCACTCACTCGCACTCGTCTGCAGCGTCGCTGCCGTTTCCCGGTGCAGGCGTTGCCATCGCCCATCGGTCTCGCGGCGGACGACGTTTGCGGTCCCGGTATTGTACGGATGCAGCTGGAATCGACGAAGTGGCTCGCCGAGAAAGGCTATGCGTCAGGAATGGGGCGGGCGATCCATCTTGTGCGTTTGCACTCCCACTTTCACTTGTTGCCTGCTAATTCGCGAACTTGCAGGCCGCCAAGCACGACGCCGCGACTGCTGCGCGTCTCAACGACGCTATCGACTGGGACTATCATCCCGTCGCTCAGCGCAAGATCTTCGTCGAGAAGGTGCTTTCGGTTTCTTCCATTTTGAAGCCTTTCACTGGCTGACTGAGTTGCTGGCGGGTCAGATGCGGGAGTGGGGTGTGGCTCAGGGCTTGACGGCGGCCGACATCGACATCCTCCTTCGCTACGAGGTGTACGACTACCATACGAAGTGGAAGAAGCAGGTGCGCCTGTTCCTTCCCCTCGCCTGCGGTCTCTACTGACTTTGTTAACAGGAGCAGCGTTCAGCTGAGGCTGAGGCGAAGCCGCTCAAGCCGCACCCGATCAAGCGCCGCCGCGCCCTCACGACCGAGTCGCAGAATGTCATGTCGGTTCGTTCGGCTTCCTCTCTCTTCCCTGCATCTCCTGCGCGGGTGCCTGTCGTTACTGACCGCCACTGTTGGTCACCGCAGTACTCAGACAACGACTCGGACTCGCGCATGTACGGCACGCACTCGTTCAACTCGGTCGCCTCGCAGCTCCCGGTGCGTTTCGACCGACTTCCGGCCGTCCCTTTGCTCGCACTGACCGTTTGCCGCGACAGTTACCGCTTCCTTCCGTCGCCTTCAGTCCGTCGAGCTACCTCGCCGCCGGCTCGTACGGTTCGGGCTCGACGACCGCGACCGATGGAGGCAGGACCGCTTCGGTGTGTTCTCCCCAGCTCGTGCACTCGCGCTCGTCGGCACTCACCCTCGCCCCGCCTGCAGGACCCGCTCACCCACGCCGACTCGAGTACGAGCACCGCGACGGATGCTACGGCCTTCGACCTCCCGGTGCGTTCGCTTTCCAACCTCATGTAGCTCGCCAACTCACCAGATCGCACCCGCAGACGCCCCCCTCGCAGTTTTATGGCGACCAGATCGATGCGCCGTCCGCCTCGACCTCGCGCAATAACACCTCGACGACCCCTCTCGACGACCGCTCGTAGCGCCGCTCGTCGACACTCGCCCGCTTGCCCCTCGCTTGTTCTCGTTTCCACTTGTTCGGCCACGTCCCCGCTTCTTCTGAGTAGTACCGTTTCTCGCTTGCCACCCTCATCCCCGCATCCCTCGCACAGACTTTGCATCCCCACTCGCATCCCCTCGCGCATCCGCAGACCCAGTAGACCACCCTTTGCCGCTTGACCAGCATTTCCAACATATGTGACGTTCAAAAAGTCGTCGGCTGTGGTTGCGCAAGAGCTCGATAGTGCTGCTAGCAGGAGATGAAGCGAGCGAGGAGGTGAGGAGAAAACGAGCCGAGGTTGCTCGAGCGGCGAGGCGTGCGCCCAGGCGGGGACGAGCAATGAGGAGGGATTCTCGTTGAAGTTCGCAGGACTGTCGAGCGTGAGCGAGAGCGAACAGGCGGAGAGAATCGCTCGTCAAGCAAGCAACGGTGTCTGTCGAAGCGCGAGGAAGGGCTTCGTAGGGTCCACATCGACGCCCACTTCGCATCAACGCGTTCATCGACGACGCTGCGGGTCGTTCGGAGCCCAGAGAAGCAGCAGTCGAGCGAAAGGCGCCAAGCGAGTGCGCCTCGAGAGCTCGCCGCCGTCCGTCTCGAGCGTCCTCGGCCGGATGAGGGGTCTTGCACGCAGCTTCGAGCAGGCACGCGGGCGACGAGGGCCTGCTCGAGACGAGCGCGGCGACGTAGCGGGACAGAGGTCTTCTGCAAAAGGTTGACGAAGGGCATGGCCTTCTCAAGCAGGGCGAGCTGGCTCCGCGAAAGTCCGTCGAACTCCATCCGGTGCGTCTCGGAACTGTTCTAAGGATAATTGCTCGTATTGCTGGATTAGGATAGCGAGGTGTAATCGGGTCGTCGCCGCGAGTCGAGTCCGGCAAGTCGGCGTGAGCGCGAGTCGGGCGTGTTGGTGGTGCGAGGAACGGAGGGAGGCGGGCGAGGGCGTCGACCCGGCATCCGAAGACCCGACTGGAGTGAGTTTGAGCGGTGGGAGGAGAAAGACGCACCTCGGAAGCCGCAAGTCCGCCGCGGCCACCGTCCTCGCCCTAGTCAGGCGGTGCTGGGCGTCGTAGTCGGGCGTTGCAGTCGAGGAAGTCGAGAGCGGGCGAGCCGTTCGAGCGGCTAGCAAGTAATCGAGCTCTGCTCGTCGGCAGCCCGGAGCGAGAGTGCGATTGGCGGCTCAAGCGCTTTGACAGCGCAGCGCCAGACGAGCGAGAAGTTTCTGCGCTGGCATGGAGTCTAGCAGGCGGGGGAGGAAGAGCGCAGTCCGAGCGAGGTGTTAGCGACACGCGGACACGACGGCGAGTCAGCGCGCCGAGTACTGTGCGAGAGGGAAGCTTTCGTCAGCCCGAGACGCTCGCACGGCGCTACAGAAGTTGACGCACGAGTATGGTGATTAGGCGAGTTTGCCGTGCGAAGACGAGTCGGAAAGCGGCAGAGACCTCGTAGGCTCGCAAGACGACACTACGTCGCTCGTCCGCTAGGGCGCGCCCAGGCAGTTCGGAGATGTCGTACATGCTCCGCTGCTCAGATTGAGGCTGAATGAGTCGGAAGATGGCAGGCGTCGAGAGGCGTCGAGGTTGGGACGGTGCGAGAGGAGCGAGGCAGCATGTGCAGAATGCGCGAGACCTGGTCAGCTGGGACAGCACGTGAGCGCGTGGAGTGTCACGCACCCGTTGCAGCTGCCACCGCACCCGTTCAGGCTGAGGCGGCCGTGTTGTGTGCGCCCAGTTACAAGAAGGCCGTCGAGACGAGAGCAACGGGAGCGGGCGAGTGGGAGAAGCGTGGCGCAGTCGTACTCGCATCACTGAGCCTCCTGTAGCAGTGCACAGCCATTCCAGCGTGAGTGAGTGAGCGGATGGAGCGAGGGAGACGCGACTTACGCGCGACGAAGGGGAGGACGCTCTCGCTCGACGACTACGCCCCTTGCTCGGATCTGGAGCTTGCTGCTGGTCTGAATGACGGTTCTACCCCCAGCGAAGAGCCCGCACTATCCTCAGACTGCGTCGCCACCGCGTCCTCTCCCTCCGACTTCTTCATCAATCCAACCTCGCTCGCATCGACCTCACACTCGACACAACCTCTCGAGGGCTTTGGGGACGCAGCGAACCTCACGAAGGAGGTAATGATGGGCGGACGGAGGCGTTGGATTGGCTGGGATGGCGTGATACTCGCGCAGGACCTGCTGGCTGGGTTCGTCCCCTCTCTGCGGTCTCGCTGAGCTCGCTGTGGAGGCCCGCAGCGAACCAGCACAATTCAGCAACCTGCCAAGCGTAACGGTCAGACTGCTGCGAGCCAACGAATGCGCCCTTGCTCGTCTACCGCCTCCTCGCTCTCGCCTGAGGCTTTCGTTGTTTGCGTGTTCCTTGCGTGCCTTCACACGCTTGGCTATGCTTGTCAAGTGCTCATATCGAGACACACAACGGCGGAGGCCGATTCGCTCGTTCCGCCGCTTCGCGCGAGATCGTAGGCGACGTCTTCCTGCGCAAGTGTACGTCCCCAGACCCTCGCCTCCTCCTCCCCGACCCTCCGCGCTGACCCACGTCCCTCCCGGCCCCCTCCTCACAGTCTACTCGGTCTACGACCTCAAGCGCAACGTACGCTGTCCCGCATGAAACCTCGCGAGACGTTTACTGACGAGCTCGAGATCGCGCAGGCCGTCGGACTCGCCAAGTCCTGTCAAGCCCCCAGAATCGGCCTTCCGCGCCCTCACAGCCGCAACCCCTCTCTCTCGCATGTTACTCTCCGCCCTGTATCCCCGAACGACCTTCGAAGCAACCCCGATAATGCCCCGCTCGCTCCTCGCCTTCGTCCGCCTTGTCTCTACTCCTTACGTCTCGTAAGTCCGAAGAACGCCGTTGCAATACCTGTGGACGATTTGTGTGTGCACGGCGAGCATTTGGAGAGCAGGGTGGGCGTGAGGGGAAGAGCGAGCGAGGCGGGCCTTCGAGGAAAGCTTCGGACGCCTCTCCTCAATCAGAGACCGTTTCACTCGTCTCTCTCGCACAGAGGCTGCGTAAGCTACAAATCAGCGCTCGCGAGGCCGCGCTGCTTATCGGGGAGAGCGACCTTCCTCCTCCTGCTTTGCGCCAGATCCAGGACCTCGGGTGCGGACCCCCCTCCATCGTCGACGGGTGGGAAGAGAGTGACGTTCCTCTCGCGGGCCGCTCGAAGTGTGAAGCAGTGGCTGGGAAGGAAGGTTGATTACGGCAACAAACGCGAGCGGTATAATGCGAAGGGGTGCTAAGCGATAATGGCCGTGTGCCCCGGTCGTCCGCAGCTACTAGCGCTGTGCGGGCCGAAAACCCCCCGAAGGAGGAAAGCTCCCGCCGAGCACACGACAACAACAAGGGGGACGAGAGGGAGTGATTAGGGGTGGAGGCGACGAGAGTCAGAGAGGAAGCATTGACCAGAGAAAGCGGTGAACGAGAGGGGTAGATGGAGCATGTGGGGGAAGTAGGCGACAGGAGAAGGGGCGAAGCGCGAGAGCGGGAAGGACGGGAGGAGGGAGGGTCGAGAGAACCGATCGCGGAGCGGAAAAGGGGCGAGTCGAAGGATGAACGGCCGCTGTCGGTGGGGAAGCAGGTCAGCTCGTAAAGCATTGCGCGAGAATAAGATGACGCACCCTCAAACCGTCATGTCCTCCTCACCTCCGGCGCCCCTCGAGTCTTCTCCGTCTCCCGAAACTTCATCGTCGACCTCTGCATCCGTGGCCGGGTCGGTGTCGCGCGTCTCGTCGGACTGACCCTTCTCGAGATTCTTGATGATGTCGTTGAAGTCGTCACCCTCGAGACCAGCCTCGCGGAGCGCCTGTGCGAAGACCGCGTCGATCGCAGCCTCCTCACCCGCTTCGTCGAAGTTGACCTCGTCCGTCTCGTCGACTTCGCGCTCGTCCGCCTTGTCGCCGCTGTTCGGACCCTGGTTCGAGGTGCTGTCGTCCGGAGCGGACGGGCCTGCGTAGCGGAGGACTGTGCCGGTCGCGAGGCGTTGCTTGTAGAGGACGGTGCTGCGCCGCCTGCTCTCGACGAGCATCTCGCGCTTCGCGCGCTGGATCGCCGACAGACTGTCCTCGTAGTCGACATGGGCGTGCAGAATGCCGAAGAGGCGAGAGTAGGCCAGCTCGCCGAAGCCCAAGCCACCCTTGCCCTTGAACGTCTTGATCACCTCACCCACCGTCGCCGAGTCGCCCTCCCCGTCGACGCGGTGGAAGCTGATCGAGTCGTAGCTGTCGGGAACGGACTCCCGTCGGACGGTGACCGAAACGCCGTAGTGACCGTCCGCACCCCACTCCTTCAAGGGATTGCTCGAGACGGTGATACGCTGCTCCTTCTTCGTGGTGTCGTTCGGCGACTTCGCGACCCGGTACGTGAGGAAGGGGGTGGACGTTCCAGTCGGCTTGATCGGGCGCTGCGGGATCGCGCTGTCAGTTTCGATCTGGCGGCCGCAAGACCGAACTGCTGGAGACGACGTACGATAAGTGTGCCTGCGAGCATCTTGTCGAGCGGGGCGCGCAGGAGCGTGTGGAAGTGCTCGCGGGCACGGATCGTCGCGAGCCGCTGGATGAGACTGGTCAGCATGCGTCACGGCGAGAGCGAGCACGCGGCGAACACACCTTCGCCAGGTTGTCGGCCTTGTCCTGCTCCGTCTGCAACGCCTGGTACTTGAGGAGGCCGCCACCTCGGGGCACGCCAGTCTTCTTCAGCGTGTCGGCCGCCGCCTTCCGCTGCGTCTCGGAAGCCCTGTGCATCCGCTCGATGACGGCGTCCTCGGGAGTATCCGCCTTACTGCCGAGGTGCTTCCCGCCGATCTGCGAGTTGGTGGAGACGAAAGGCGACGAAGGGACGGACGTCAGACTCGTAGGCGGAGCGATCTGGGCGGCAAGCGACGGGCGAAGGAGCAGGATGCGGTGTGTGAGGTCGGGTTGCGCTGTGAGCAGCTCCTGCACCTCGGGACGGGCGTACGGCGCAGAGGAGAAGGCGAAGATCTCGCCAGCCTCAGCGTGGACGACGACGGCGGTGAAGAGGGCGGGCGAGAGGGGCGTGTCGGGCGGGACGATGAGCGAAGGGAAGGCGACGACGCGGTCCGAGATGTCGAGCCCGCGCTCGGCTGAGGCGGGTCGCGTGAAGGCGGAGAAGGGTTGCATGACGCGAGTGTCGCCGAAGTGGTCGCAGCGCTGCGAAGGCATATCGTCAGCCGAGCGTCAT